TCTCTCTGTTCTATTTTTCTTTTTTTTTCTTTTCTATCAACTTTGCATGGTTTACTTTGTTTTAAACCTCTGAAACAAAGTATGAGATTTTTATTTGATTCCACCCCTTCCTTAATATTTGATCTTGGTGGTGCCTGGAAGAGTTTTTTATAGTAACATGAATTTTTTATTTGAGCCTTTTATTAGTGTGTTTTATGTACTGATTTTGGAATGTCACAAAGTCATCAGTTCCTTCACTGGGTATATCATTAAAGTCAATATTAATAAGATCCAGTTATCTATCATTTAAAATCATATCTCTGCTTTATGTGGTAGATGAAGATGACATACTCAGTGTTGGTCAATTTCACATTTAACATGACACTGATATAAGTTTCTCAGGAAAGTATACCTATACACTTCTTGCATGGTTATCCTTAAAGAGTGTGTAGGTATAGTTTTCTCTTTATTTGTTACCTGCTACTTGAACTCTATGTTCCAAAGGCATTTTGGTGGATACGTTTCTATTTCTCAGGAATGATATTTGAATCTGATAATGTATCAGACATAAGTGCATGCGTCTTATTTATAGTGTTTGTGTTAAAGTGTACTCCTCTCTTGCTATCACATTGGCCTTGTGATCACAGAATATGCCTACAGAAGTTTTATATCTATCTTTCAGCGGGGGTATTAATTGTAAGTACATTTTGTGTTGAAAGCCTTGTGGAAAAGATCTTACTTTTCGTTATTGAATGGAATTAATTGGTGTTGGGCCTCTTCCCACACAGTGATCGAGTTTCTTGTGGCTTTTGCCATAAGTTACAGACTTAACATAACTTCGTGTGCTTCATATGCATTTTTCTGATAGACATATTCTAATTTTGTTGTTGTATGATAATATTTTTTCTATACCACCTGTGCAAGTGTTATGTTTTGCTATGTGTTCGAGGGTGTACAAATTTAGTTTTCAAGCCACTGGCATGAAATTCTTCCTACATTACTAGTAATGTTTGTCAATCTCTTGTATGAAACAATGTACACTATTTTATTGAATCCACAGAATGGCCAATAAAGTCCAACAAGTAAATACTTTTTTTAATCTCTTCTCAACTCCAGTTCATTTCAATGCTTTCCAAATCTAGTGCCAATAGTCTCCGGTAGCCAGAGTGAGTAAAGTCATTGTTTGACCTCCTGTTATGACCATTCTGTGTTACTTGAACCTCAGGTCATTTTAATCACTTTCTCATCTTTTAGTACTATGCTGTACATTACTCTGGATGTTTTAGACATGAGGACTTGAAATTTTTAAAAATATACCCGTCTGGCTATTTGTTTGCTATCAAGCACCAATCTTCTACCCACAAGCCCAATTGCGGTGGGTTTGTTGTCTTCTCAACCTTGTAGCCTTTCTGCTTAACTTCAGTGTTCAATTTCTCTTTATTCTCATGATTAACTCGTTTGTCCTGTACTTAGCATTGTTTATCAGGACAAGTAACACATTTATCTAAATTTTGGGCACACAACATGACACATTAACTGTTAATCTTTTTTATGAGTGCTCCATTTGTCACAAGCTATTTGTTTTGATCTGAGCAGTGCTGATGGAGGTGGTTCTTTGGATTTCATTTATGTGCAGATAAACTGCTGATGTGTGAAAAGGCCAATTTCATGGCTCAGGCTTTCAACTCAAAATGTATTCATTCAGATAAATTACCTAGAGGATTTTAAGTTTTGTCTAACTACCTTTGCTTTGTTTGATAATATCTATCCTACGAAAGAAATTCAGTGCTTCCAGTGATTGTAACATCTTACCCTCCTTTTTTTATCTTGCCAGTATGTGATTTGTTATCAAATGCTTTTTGGGGGATTGAGTGTAATAATTGTTTGCAGTAATATAGATAAGCACAAAATGAAGATGTTTGTGAACAGGATGGTATTTAAACCATAACACGACCTCTTCAAACTGTATTACTTAAAATCAACTTTGTATCACTTTATTGTTGCTAAGTTCTCGTAAATACTTCCATGGGAGTTTTTATGAAAAAAATCTATTTTGAAATGAAATGAACAGTACAGTAATCCACCTTCAGCCATTCACCATCAGAGTTCTGCTGTCAAAGAGTGAAAGAAGTTCTTCCCATCCCCACCATCATTTATCGGTCTGTCTCAATTCATCTAATCATTTCCTCTAATATTCAAAAGACTTTAGAATCAATAAAACTTTTATTATTCTGTGGATACTCTGCCCATTACAAACCAAAAGGTTTGTTTGATTCTTAATATTTCAAGGTGTTGAATGATAAACCCAACTCAATTTGTTTTTGCTTTTAAAATTGGTTACAGGGTACATATAGCCAAGGTACTTTAAATAACTCTATCTTATTCTGTCTTAAAATTGTAGGATGCATTAACCCTTTGTTTTCTACTAGACGCCTTATTAAAATAAATCCTAGTCTGACCCAGACGTGCTCCCAAATTTTAAGTAATTTTTGGCCTTGCCTATAAACTATACAAAAATTTGATAGATGATTGTACCAAACATTCTAAGGCCTCTTATACTGTAAAACAAATTGAAGACTATAAACAAACGAGGCATCATTCAACCAGAATAAAAACAAACCTTCAGATATCATTCATCGTTGGTGAAGTCCACTTGATGGTTACCATCCCTCAACAGCATCTATTGATGGTGAAGGTAAGGTGGATTACTTACATGTGTGATGTGTGTGAGTGTGTCTGTGTGAAAAACAGAATTCTTTAAGGAGTTGTGTGTAATTTACTATTTTAATTACATAATTTGTTGGTGCACTTGTACATCTGAACCGTACCCCATTTGATGCTTATCAAGAGAGAATTGTGTTTATGAACTATGCTTAAAGTAGTTTCTTTGAGAGTATGGTATCACTTCCTCAGTCTGTTAGACCAATAATGTTGAGACTTGCTCTGAATAGTTCATTCCTTTCATCTTTAGATTATGTTGTTATGTTAGGATCGGTCTAAAGTCTTTTTGTGCTGGTTCATTGTTATTTGAATTTTTTTAATGTTACTTTCAAAGGTCTTGTAAAGAATTTCCTTTGTTGTAGTTTTGTTGTCATCTATATAGTATTATTGCTTGTGTTGATCTTAGAATCATTTCACGAATTATGCTTATCAATTTGCTATCATTTTAAAAAGATACGCAAATAAGTACTTCCAATCTTGAAGTACTACTATTTTAGACATTATGCATCATTTGCCAATGATACCATTATAGACTGTGTGAAAAAAATGTTGAATCTTATTTTTCACAGGTCACCCAGTACCTCAGCAGGGTCCACCACCCAAACGGTCACACAAAGATCTGGCTAGCCTTGCGCAGCAGGCAGGCCTTAATCCTAACGCCATGGTGCCCTTCGCTCCTTACACGGGCCCTCGTCAAATCATCAGTCAACTCAATGGTAAAGCTAGAATTGCTGTAACTCGAACAGGCTCTGGTGCCAAGCAAGTTCTTTCTTGGATGGAAGCTCCGGAAGAAGTGCTTTTCCGTTCTACTGAGCATGTAAAGTAAGTGTAGCGTGTTTGTGTAACTGTACTCACCTCAGTGAAGATCGCTTTATGATGTATTGTAATATCTTTGTGTGTGTTTGTACGCAGAAAGGTGCGAAGACAATTAACAACTCCTGAGCTACGGCGGGCCGCACGTAAGCCGTGGAGGAAATTGAGCGTCAAGGGCCTTGAGGATATGGTGGTGGTGCTGGACTGACCCTGGCCTTCCCTCGGCCTCGAGCCAAGCCGACAGGGCTTGCACCACGGTGTAAGCCCTGGTCCTGGCCCGGGGCTGATCAGACTGAATGAAATGGTCTGAAGAGGTCGTCCCCGTCCGCATCCACCGACTCTAAGCAACGAGTGCGTCCTGGACTTGTGCAAAGCAACGTCTCGTTGTTGTGCTGTGAAAAAACAAACAAAAAAACTTGACTGATAGGTGCTTTTGTCTTCGTGAAGGAAAAAAGAAACTGATTGATCAGAATTATCATCATCATTGTCATTATTATTCATCATCATCATCGTCATCATCTTTGTCAGCTCTCCAGGGAGTTGTGATCTGAAGTAACCCTTAATTTCTCTTTTTCCTGTCTTTGTGTCCTTCCTTTCGCAAGATGTTTGTGTGTTTGTGATGATAAGAAATTTACATATTCACTTGCCGTGGGACCAAAAGACTGTGAGGCATTTACATTTCTGTCTTAACCAGGGCAAGTTTTTCACTTATGCATGTAACTTTCCTCTCAAATGTCTTGCAAAGCAATAATGATAAGTTGCATCCAAACACCTATTCTGTTAGGCAGCTGTTAAGTTAAATAGTATTCCAATCTCAAGATTTAATGTTGTATAGTAGTCAAACAAGAAATAAATGTCTTTCTGCACAAAAGTTATTACTATTTGTCTTCTATCCTTAAGACAAAGTCTAATAGGAAAACTGACTTCTGATCTTTCAAATGCATTATATTTGTGATCATACTGTATAAATTTAATATTCTAGATGGATTGCATGCTCTCATGTGGAAAATGTTTAAAGTATGTAAAACCTGTTCTTAACATTGTAGGAACTGGGTACCTGTTTATGAAAGTGATAGCTGCAAGCAAAGAGAGAGAGACAGAGACAGATCTCTTCAATCTTGTCTTAAAATGTATCTGGAATTGCTCAGATGCCTAGCTTGTTCAGATGGCACAAATGCACTAAAAAGTTATCAGTGCTTTGTCTAGACAAAAGTCTTGTACCTGTGTAGGTGTGTATTTGAGATAAAATCAAATTTGATTTTTTTATCACTTTGGCCATTAAACTTCAACTACCTTATTAATTTTTGTCACAAACAAAACTAAAACTATTCAGTTTTTGAGTTTTCCTAAACATGATTTTCATTGGTTTTGAGCATTATGAACTTACTTATTTTATTTTGTTACCTGCTGGATGAGATAATCAAGGCATATTGTCTTTTTATATCCCTTTTAAATGAATATTTTATGAAAGTTAATTCTACACAAATGTGGACTGGTTGTGACATGAGTAAACATTGTATTTTATGACAGGTAATAAACCTGTGGGATGAAAAACAAACAAAAGAAACCTGAAGTAAATTTTAATATGCTGGCCTGAGTTGCCAGCCAACTTTCTCAATCTTTTACATTGTGTACTTGCCTGCCTCTCATGTGCTGTTTACAGTGTTATCTTTTTTGTCATTGCCAGCGACCAATTAGAGCATTGCAGTTCACACATGCATCTAGTGATTAAGGTGATACGTAATTTTGCAGTTATGCTGCTACAGGTTGTCCTAAAGTTGTTTCCGAGTAAATGTTATATTTGAGAGCACCTATTTCCATCAAAGTTGGGTGCAATTTATGTCAACTGAATTTTGTTTGATTCTGGTTTATTGTTTTGCCTTGTTTATAATGTAATTTATTCATTAATAACAAATACGAAAAACAGAATTTATTACATTCTTCTTTTGCTTTCTCCTTTAAAATTGAAATAAGTTCAGTCGGAAGAGGGCATCGTGACGGATAGCTTGTAGTAAGTGTGAAGGAGTAAGGTCGCACAGTGTTAACGTCCCTTTTCATCTTCGAATTCCAGATCGGTTGCACCTTGGAATTTTATTCGTTGTCTATTTCTTGCGAGATTCTCGATCATTTCGGTGACGTTGACTGTAGGCTGTGGACGTAGACCTATGGTCTGATGGTGTCGAGGATCCATGGTACGTACGCGGACACCCGTGTGTAGATGGAGGGCAGGGGTGCGGTACCGCAAGGGCTGTCGGGCCCGTATGAGACCACGCCGATCTGGTACGTGACGGTGGAGCCCCCCAGGTCCTCGTTCACCAGGGTCACCATGAGCGGGCCGCCACTGTCGCCCTTGCAGGCGTCCTTGCCCTTGTCACCCCCTGCGCACAACTGGCCCGGATCCAGGGGCTGCAGCTCTGGTGGTTGCAGCTCGTTGCACTCCTCGTGGCCGACGCCGTTCACATCAGTGAACTGCAACACGGGGCTGCCTCCTGCGTCCCCTGCGAAGGCACCACAGACGTGAGTTTCAAGATTTTTGGGCATGTTGATTTCAAGATTGAATTTTTCGAATGAAGCCTACACTTCCAAAATACAGCCTGAAATAGAGAATTGAGTAAGAGGGGCAACTTACTAAAGTCAGTCTTTCCCCAACCGGCTATTTTGAACTTCTTGTCGTCGGTCACGTTAAGTCCTACTGGTAGACAAATGGGGCGAACGAAGTCTGTGGACAAGAGAAACAGGAGTACATACTGGAGAAACCATAAAACGCAGCAGAGCGCCTCCTAGGTAGGCAACCCATCCACCTGCAGGAGATATCGATCACGGTTTCCCCTGGTTTTCCCTAGCCCAGCTGTCGACACGCTTGTGTGCCTTACCGTGAATTGTCTAGGCTTAGGCTTTGTCACTTACCCGTGTACTCGATGACGCTTCTGCTAAGCCTGACGAGGGCAATATCATGCTTTATGTTACGGATATTGAACTCTGCGTGCGAGACGATGCCCTCGACCGCGATGTCTAGAGGCGGTGGGGCGCACACCTTGTTGTGGTCGCAGTCCACTGGCTCCGTCAAGTTAAATTCTCCCAATCGCACCACCACTCTGGTAGCAGAATAGTAAGGAAACACGAAAGAAAAACAAAATTCAACAATACTTGAATTTAAAAAAATACTAGGTTGCTGGTTCACGCAGCGCACTTTCGTATCTATACCGAGTGTAAAGGCAAGTACTCCCCAGTGTTGCGGGTTTGCATACCCTCGGGGCTATGGCGCCTTACGGGCCGGGCAAACTCGAAACACGGTACATGCACGCGTACGGGTGGGTTGCCTATCGCCGGAGGTGAGGCCAACGGCTCCTTCAGTCCCCGAGCGGGTAGGCAACCCCACGTCATGCGGGACAGTATCGCTACGAAAGTGCGCGGCGTGAATCAGCCACCTGATATCGTGCTGGCATTAATACTCACGGCCTATTCTGCGACCGGATGCAGTGCGCTGCGGTGAGGACGTATCTGTCGTTGATGAGAGTTCCGCCACAGAGGAAAGTCACGTTAGCACTGCCTTGAAGGAAAGGACAGGGAAAACCACTCATATCGGATGCCGGTTAGGAATTCGCCAGTGAAGCTGGCGTTGTCAATTGACAAAACTGACGAAAAGCATTGACCTGACTTACTGCGGTACCCAAGAAGAGCCATCCAGGGGAACTGGCCGATGCTGGCAATCTTGCCGTTGATGATCCTGTTTTCGGTCCCCACTTTGCCGCACGTGTTCGTACCGGGCAGGAGGTCGGACGGAGCGGGGTCTGGCGTCTTTGCGCCCTCGGCCGGGCTGTGGGGGGCGTCTGGCAGGGCGGAGGCGGGGGTAGGGGGTGCAGGGGACGTCTTTGTGGGGACTCGCTGCGTTTGGGGCTCCAAGTGAATCGTGAATTTGGGGGGCTGTGGACGAGGGGCCTCTTGCTGATGCTGTGATTGATGCGTTGTGACATTAGGAGGTTGGTGGTAAGTGTGAGGAGGCTGGGGGTCCACTGGCTGCTGGGGCGTGACTTGAGGACGTTGGGGTTGCTGCGGGCTAGTACTAGTTTGCTGAGGTGTTACTTGGAGGCCTGGACGTGGTTTCGGACTCTCTTGATAGCTGGGCTGTGGTCGAGGCTGCTGAGTAGATTGGTAAGCAGGTTGTGGAGTGGGGTGCGGGGCAAGGTGCTGAGCGGGCTGCGGAGCTGGGTGCTGAGCGGACTGTGGCGCTGGGTGCTGAGCGGGGTGCGGCGCTGGTTGCCGAGTGGGCTGCGGCGCTGGGTGCTGAGCGGGATGGGGCGCCGGGTGCTGAGCGGGCTGCGGCGCGGGGTGCTGAGCGAATTGCTGAGTAGCAGGGTGCTGCGCTGGGTTGCGTGGGGGTTGCTGCTGGGGTTGTTGTTGTGGCACCTCGACCAGGTGGGGAGCCCCATTCGACGCTGGGCTGGAGACTGGCGGGGGTCCATGGGAAGTCGCGGGGACGCAACACACCCTACCCGCGGCGCACTCGAATAGGACGCCGGAATCCCTGGGGGGGCACTGGTCCACCCTGATACACTCCTGCGGCTTGCTGCAGCGGCTGCCCCCGGTGCGCAGTCGCTCGGGCGGCCCTGTCGGCCCTGCGTGCCCTGAGCCCATGTCCACCTCCACCACCCCTCCTCCCAGGGCCTCCCGGATGGTTCCTGTGGTGTACCTGTCCCCGCCTTCATTCGCCGACAGGGCGGAATTCGTGCCGTTGGCTGCCACCTCGCGCTCGGCCAGTTCGGCTAGCTCTGCTCCCCCTGCGCCCCCGACACCAACGGCCACGTCGGAAGACGGTGCGCGCGGCGGGACCGGCGGGACAGCCCCTGAAAGGTAAGCAGTGTTAGCTGGAAACCGGCGAAGTTATCACATTGTAACAATTGGGCCTACCTGCTAGCGTGAACAGGGCCAGGATGACCAGCAGCACCCGCGGATGGCCCGTTCCCATTGTTCTGGACTCGCCGGGAGTCGTCCTGGACCCGGCTGAGGCCCCGTGCACACGTTGATGCAGCGCCATCCCGATCCCGCATCACCCTACCCTCCGAACGGGGAAACGAATGGCGGGAGAGCGGACCTGCGGGACAACCGGAACTGTTACTTCAACACATAACAGGACCCAACCTCAGCTTATTGTCGACCAAATTGACAAAAGTTGTTTGCTTATGCAAATTAAAACAAATGCCGAATCTGCTATACTAGTTGACCCGTCGTGAGTCTACTGGATCTATTGCCACAGAGCCGCACTGAATGAATACGCTGCGGGGGGAAAGACCAACCGAAGGTGAGAAAATCGGCCACCTTCACGCCGCGCTGCCGCCTCGGCTGCCGCGCTAAAGCCCTGGTCCAGCTATGTGGTGATGATCGCGGCGGCTGCTGGGAGGCGGGGAGGTCCCCGTCGGAGACGATGACGAACTGACCACTACCACTGACTCCGCTCTGATAACCCCGCTGCCCCCTCTCCCTCCCCGCCCCTTACCTCCGGCCCACTGCAACGTTGCCGTCCGGGGATCATCTTGTTTGGGAAATAGGAGATCCGTCCAGTCGCAATAAAGAATTTAGAAAACACAAACTGGAACGGCAATCGGCAATCTTTATCAAAACAGGAAACTTTTACCTTCGGATAGTCAGCCACAAGGTACTATCATCTGAAAAGTCGCCGACTCTGCGACGACTCAACCAACCAGACACTCGTTCCGCGACTTCGAGGTTCTTTGAAATCAGGATCGGTAGGTATCCTACGGAGAGAGGCAGACTTTCCGGGGGCGGCCTTGGAAGACACCAACCGCACGGCACTGAACAGGGCAGTCGTAAAATAACACCAGGAGTCGAGCAGTACCCGCGCTAAGTCACGTTCACCGACGCCATCCCGGTGGGCCGAGTGCGGCGCGGCCGCGGCCCCGGTCCATGCCTCTTGGTGGACGTTCGCGCGGGGAATGGCGCGGTGGAGGCGGAGCGGAGGGGCCGCGCGGCCGCACGTACTCCCACCGCGGTGCGCGCGCGCGCCGAGACGGGAGGCAAGTTGAAGGTTAGAGCAGCAAAGCAAACGCCAAAGCAAAGCAGGCAGCAGGCGGCTGACGGCGCTGTTGCTGCTGTTGCTGGAGTGACGTCAGAGCCCCCCCC